TCAGAACATTGCGGCGCGACTGATTACTGGAACTAAGCGGAAAGAACATATTACTCCTGCCCTCAAGGACTTGCACTGGCTTCCTGTCAAATCACGCATCGTTTTTAAGATCCTACATTAATCTACAAAGCCCTTAATGGTCTTTCACCAACCTACTTAACTTCTCTTTTTAACGCCTATAAACCAGCTTGTTCTCTTCGATCATCTGACCGATTACTCTTACAAGTTCCGGACATGAAAACATGTACATACGGTCAAAGATCCTTTTCTTTCTACGCCACGAAACTTTGGAATGACCTACCTTTCTACATCAAACCGTCTGAGAGCATAGCGATTTTTAAAAAGAACCTTAAAACATTTCATTTTTGTAATAGTTTTTAACCTAGTCATAGATTTTAATAATTGCATCTTTTAGTTAGGTTTTTATTCTTTTTAATCATATGCAATTGTAAGCGCATTGANATTATTATTATTATTATTATTAATTCTCTGTAACCAATGCAGATATGTCTTCTGACAACACTAGCATGAATAATTTGATGTGAAATTATCAGAAATTGCATTTTCTGCAAGGCCAAATAAGCAGAAAAAGGAACCAGAATTGTAAAAGTCTGTTAAAAATTTAATCTGTACAAGCATGTTAGGGGTTTATTACAACTACTGCAGTACCTCTTGGGAGTACAAATAAACTTGAGCCATGATACCACAACAACAAGTCTGATACACTTTTAATGGAATTTTCTTGACAATTTCTGCCAAGAATCTGTCACTTTGATAAAAGGGTCCCTCCCCTCCCCACTTGGACTTCCAGTGTTTCTCCCCATGGCCCCCTAGCCCAAGCTTCCAGTGCCCCCCTCTACCTACTCACCCAGGCTCCCAGTTACTTCCTTGTCTGCCTCCCTCACCTAGGCTTCCAATCCTACCCCTCTCAACTAGGCTTCCAGTTTCTGCCCACTCTGCCCCCTCACCTGGGCTTCCAGTTTCCCCTCGTCTCTGGCCTTCACCTGGGCTTCCAGTCCCTCCCCCTCTGTCCCCTCAAGCAAGCTTTTAGTCCCTTCCCTACCCTCCCCTTCTCTCTCACCAGGGTTTCCAGTTTCTTCTCACTCCTCACTCAGACTTCCAGTCCTTTCTTTCTTTGTACCCTCACCCCCTTCCAAATCCCCTAGTCCAACCCCTCACCCAGACTTCAAGTGAATTGATTTGCTTAGGTGACACAC